ACTGAAATCACTCGTACTTTAGTATATTTGTAGCCACTGATGTCCTCTACATGTACAAATAATTTGGGAGGAATCGGGCTATTAGATCACCATTATTTGATGCCCAAATCCTATGCTATTACCTTAAATTATTCGGAAATTTATGACTGCAATCACTCGTACTTTAGGATATTTGTAACCACTGATGTCCTCTACATGTACAAAGAATTTGGGAATGATCGTTGTTCGGAAAATAATCCCACAATTTGACTAGTCAGCCAAACGTGCAATAATTAACTTAGAACAATAAAACCCACTAGATGTTATGTGGGGTTGCCGGGCAAGTAAAGGGTGAATGCACTGATTAATAATTAACACATGTCTTTATTATTTCTATTTATTTGAATTGATTTACAAAAGGGTGAATTACAGACGAACTTTATATTTCTTGATAATCTTGTGGTGTTGAAATATATTTACTATGAATGAAGCAGGTTATAATCTATTGAATATTATCGCTAAGAGGTTATCATGATTGTAGTGCTCTGATCGAACACTGGAATGCCATTGTGTTTATCTTAACACGTGTGTAGTTGCCTTTAAATATCGGTCGTAAGAGAGCCGAGATGGAGGTTATGCGAAGCTGTGCGCCATCTGTGGCTGGAACAACTTGCAGTTGGAGGGATTGCGAAGCCAATGTGGCGTTTATAGCTGGTCTTGTTCAAGAGTATGTCCGGGAAGCTTCCGTAGTTGGACTTTATCCGTCCGTCTTCTACATAAGCCGAGAAATCAAGAATGAGTACTAGCTGTAAGGACTTACTTGCAGTGTATCGTGATTTTCCAGTCTCTCTTCGATGGCTTGTTATTACGTTCCCTTGCAATGTTGCAACCCTTCAGTTCTTCCTTGTCTCCAAGTGAGACCACAAGTGGTCAGGTCCCACGCAATCCAGTCTTGATGAGATCAATTCAACTGTACACTAATTCACAATAGTGGAAAGAACTTATTATTAAAACTCAGCTAGCTAAACGACTCATCTCTCCGGTCCTCCTCCGTGAGAGTTGGTCGTGACTTATCCTTCACTGTAAGAAGTATTTGGAAAGAGTAAGTGAGGGTACATTACGTAGTCCCTTCTTAAAATGATTCACTGATCCCGCTCCACTTGGGATCCCTTCTTCCTTTATTAATTAACCAATCAGTGGTTGATCTTGGGTCGCACAATAGATTATGCACGCCTTCATTTCCACTTCCTTCCGGGCTCAGTTCCGAATTTGCTAATTGGGAAAGTGTCGGAAGGTGGCGAGCCTTTTCCATTGGTCACCTCTCTTTGGTTGCCTCATCCTTCTCTGGGACTTGGCTAGAAGAAGGGTCCGCTTGTGCGTGGTCAATTTTTCAATACGATCGACCAGATGTGGCATAGCCAAGAACAATGCAAGCATTGTCTTAAAGGCCGAGTGCGCACGTATGGTCATTGCATGTTGTTGCACGTACGGGTTTTGGGTTTTAGTAAATGTTTGTACTCAATGCTTTACGCATATCTGATATTCGTTTCGAATCTACTTTGGGGTTCTCCCGGCAGTAAACCCATTAGGTTCTACTGCACTGGGAGTATGAGCACGTTCCGCTAGAGTTTTCCAGATGTTTTATGACACTAGTACAATTAATTATGAGCAGGAAAGTTTTGAAGTCTTAAATACAATTTTCATGACATTACTTGTCAGATATTTTATTGCCTTATTAAACGGAGTCTCTTATTCTCACATGTTTTTCTATTACATATTTGAGAACCAACATATTTAATGAATATTTAATAAAATCTTATTTGGCACAAATAATTCTTGTTGACGATATTCAGAATATATATTAATAAATTAATATTAGAAACTGAAATAATTAGATTATGAAACGAACGACTTTTTAGTTATACTTCAAAAAATGAATTAGCAAATAGATTTTTCTCACATATAATATACAGTGAAAATTAAATAAAGTATTACTAAATAATTTATCAATTTCAATTTTTTATTTGTTACTTGAATATTTGTATTTTTAAACTCAAATTTATTTATTAACTTAATTTAGCATATAATTTCTAGAATTTTAATAATACATATAGCCAATGTACAAGATACGATATTAATTGGACAGATGTATTATTGACGTCGTCTATAGATTCAATATTTTCAAACGATACTTTGTCAATTATACCATGTGACAAAGGATGGGAATATAATCAATCGGAAGTATCTTCATCTGTTGTAATTGAGGTACATTTATAGTTTTAAATAATATAATTATTAAATTATTTAAAAAAACATATAATATAATAAATTATATTTGTTAAGTAAAATCAAGGATTATTTATAAATTTTTTTTATGAAATTATTTGAATTTTAATAATATTGATACTGTCTAGGATTAGACTAAAACTTCCCAGTGATGTTCGGTGGGAAGATTGCTGGTAAGTGGAAGAGTATAGTGGCGTTTTTTCTCTTTATTTATTTTCAGACTACACATATATATGATTCTTAGATGGTGCTGAAGATTTGCGGAATCTTGATGGTAGTTGTCACGTGGTGTTGGTAGCACTACATACCTGGGTTGGAAGTTGTATATCATCTAACCTGGCCTAGTGCATCTATTTTCACGTGATGGTAACGTATCCAATATCTGCCCTTTTACTCGGTGTTTGCTTGTACACATTCAGCTGTTTGCGGGAGCTTCGGGATCCAATGAATGCTCTTGTAATAAATGCTTATCGCGAAAGGTACATTTACGCCTACAGAGCCGTACGAGAAAAAAAACCGTACACAAGAGCTAACGCTCTAGCGCCTTCAATATGGTTTCTTCTTTAATTAAAAAAAAAAAATTCATGTCTTACCCAATTCTGTGATGAGTATGTAGGTGGTGTGTTTGTAGTTTAATATTCACTATTGAAATACAATCAGCACTCTTGATTACTTAACTATGGCGCACTTAAATGTTTATAAATTATTATAGCTTCACTGTTGGTTTACTAGCTTATTATTGGCACAATTATGTGCGTATATAGTAAACTGATTGACTGGTATAGGGCGGAGTTTAGTGGCTGTGTGAGTAATGACTGATAACTGATTATTGAGTAATACTGTGAGCAATAACTGATGAGTGAATGATTGGTAAAAATACAGTGACCCCCGGTACGTGGCAAGCTGCTCTTAAATATTCGCGTGGCAGCTTACAACGCTAGCAACAGTGCTTGGTCTTGTTGCTAGGCCGAAAGTCTTGATGACGTCAGAAACTAAGCTCCAGAATATTCGAAAAGTCTAGAAGGACACTGTCTTGGAAGGTTCGAGAATTTTTATCGACATTGCTATGCGGAAATATTGTATGGCACTAGAAAATAAGGAGTGGACTATACAAGAATTCGCAGAATCAATGTTTATAAATATAAGAGTCCGAGAGCTTGCACTTTTCACATCTTTAAATTTTTCTATATTGCTCTAATCCCGAACAGATACATATTTAATCAATAAAAAAATAATTTGTTTAAAGTACAGTCATAAAAATAAATAAATAAGACATGAAAAAACATATTTAAAATTTTTATTTTTATATTTATTTTTAAAATACAGTTTACAGTGATTATAAATACTTTTATCGTTTATTTAATAAGATTAAAATATAACCCTAGATATCTGCAATCTAGAAAATGTACTGTTGCTCATTAATGATTGATAATTTAATTAATCATTAAAATTAACTGAAAAATGTTTAAAATTTTAAGAATAAGAATTTTCAAGAGAAATTTGAAATTGCAATATTCAATTTTGTTATATTATCTAGCCTTGACCAAAATAATATAAATATTTTTTTATTTCAGAATCAATTTATTTTACAAATCAACTCCTGCATAATAAAGCTAAATTTCTGAAAATATATCGATAATATAAAATAATAGTAGAATAATAAAAACAATGACATAAGAAAATAGAAAAAAATATTAAAAACATGGTTTTAATTTAATGATAATATTATACATCTGCTTATCCTTACATAAAATACCCTTGTTCGTAATGCACAATCATTTTGGTGTTAATAATGCAAGATCAGTTTGATACAACGTCTAGGCAAAATTGTACACGTTAAATTATATTAAAAAGGAAAAGGTTGTAATCGAATAAGTCTTGATTATATAATTTAAAGAATCATTATCATTTTTGAACATGTAGCACTGTATTTGCTTCTATTCTCTGATACTTTAATAATTCTATGTAATTTATCTTTCATGTCTATCATCTTCAAAATATTTTTTAGCATTTTTTGTTTTCTCATTATTACATTATCTCACTACGATTATTTTATTTTCTGATCGCTACGAAATTTAAATTTAATTTAATCAAAACATATCATTCTATTGATCATCCCTATATTCTATTTTTCGAGGTCCGCTCTTTTCATAGAAACTTTGATGTTCTGTGTTACTGAGTTGGTTAATCTAATAATATATGAACAATATCACATAGTTACAATATGAAATATAGTCACTTATTTTACAAAATTAAAAAAGATAACATAAGCAATTATTCAAATTATTAGTAAACATATTAATATAAAACTTTTTTACATATACCATAATAATTGACCTTGAATGTCATGTCGCTCTTTAAAGATTTTCGATAATTATTTTAAAATTTCACAAATCTTAGTAAAAAATTATTTAAATTTTTATCTTTATTCAAAAAACTCTTTATTATTTTACTGTAACGATTCTTTAAGAGTTAATGTAAATCAACTTTTAGATTATTTTAATTTACTTTTATTTTATTTTCTATATTATTTATTTTTTAATTTCTTGATGTAATAAGTAAATCCAGTTTAGTAAATAATGTTACGAGATCATTTAAATTATAGTATTTTTAATGTTATTATATATAAATTAATAAATAATTAAATGTAAATATACATATATAATTATGAAGTTAACGATTGAATAAAAAACTAATAAATGAACAATTCTGTTCGTAAGATCATAACTTTTCAAAATAAATTATTATTAATATACATTACTTTTAAAATAACTTTATATAATAAGTGACCAACAAATTATTGCAATTACATTCAATACTACTAATTTTAAATTAGTCAAATAATTTGTAACAGATGCATAATATATAATAAACAAATATATTCAAAACTCGAGGGATTAAAGAACTTACTTTTACAAAAAAAAAAAATAAATAAATAAAGAAACTGATATTAGAAGCACTTAATATTATGTTTTTCAGAACAGTTTTCTTTTCATTATAATATTCTTAATATCTAGTGTATATTTGTGTTTTTCAACTTGTATTTTTAATATACAAAATTGTTTATAGATAAATCTAATATAAATAGTTATTTAAATATTTTTATTGTATTTTAGTTTGATTTAGTTTGTGATTATGAAATTTATCCAACACTGGGTTTGGTCGCCCTTAACGCTGGAGGACCAGTCGGTGTATATATGTTCGGAAATTTAAATGATAGGTAAGAGTATCTAAATTATTCTAAATTATAGTTTGATATGAGCATGAAATTTGTATATTATAAAATAATTTTAAATAAAATTAAAATTATTTAAACTTATAATTATTGTAAATATTTATTTTAATTTAAGAAATTTTATAAAATGAATTTTATTTAAAAAAATTCTATAAAAAGAATTTAATTTAATAAATTTCATTAAATGAATTTTATTTTACGAAACTATAAAATATTTATGCATACGTATAAATATTGATTATTTTAACCTTTCTTTATAAATAAGGTAAGCTTGTGTATTTATTTATTATAAATTTTAGTAATATTCAAATTTTTGATTAATGTGAAAATTTGTGACAAATGGTAGTCTTTTCTTGAGCATATAGATGATTTAGGAGGGATGATATGTTGCGATTCATAGAATGCAGATAATTGGTGATGATAAAGCATTAAGTAAAAAACTAAACGGACAATTAAAAAATTTCTAAGAATTAATTTTAATTAACTACAACTTATATGATAATATTTTAATTAATTTTAATTATTCTAGCCTATACTTTCAGTTTTAATGTAAATCTTGATTTACAAATTGACTAGTTATGTTTAATATATGGATGTCATGTATTCTTTTTAGTTGATAAATTTCTTTCATACAACTGCAATATATGATAAAATAGATTAATCGAGGAATAGAAACAATCCTTTGGTAGATAAAACATTAGGCATATTATTGAGTGAAATTTATAGAAAATTACATATTAGATATTGTATTAACTTAAATGGATTGAAAAATTATTTCGAATTCGTTACAAAATCAATATTTTTTGCCCAAAACAATTTTCTAATTTTTTTAACCTATTTTAGAAGCATATTTTTTATATATTTATATTAAGATTATCTGCAAAAATATAGTTCGCAGAAAATTTATCAATTAGTGAATGATTTAATCCATGTTAAATCATAAAATCATAATTTAAAACACTATTTATTATTTCCAATAAATCTAAGATATTCCAAATATTCTTTGTTTGCGTCAATTTATTAATGAATTTATATAGATTAAATATTTCTTTTTTGTATTTTTCCTACAAGAAAAATAAATTTATTGCGTAATTCAATTTCGTAATTTAATACCAGCTAACTTGACAAATATGATCAAAATAAAGTAAGAAATCTATTTACATATTATACAACAATATATTTTTTATATAATTTATACTAATAATGGTATAAGACAATTTGTAATATTTATTATTTATTAAATTAATATTATTGTTCGAGAGTGAAAAGAAAATCTCTTGAATTATATTCATTAGAAAACTTTCAACAGCTATTATAAAAGGGAATTATCGAACAGACATAAAATCGAAGAAGGTCCTGCCAAGGGTGCTGGAGACTCGAAAAAGTTCGTACATCTGGATTCTCGTAAACAGCCACTTTATGGCGTTTGAACTGCAGACACAGTAATTGTTTGGAATGCAATAAACGAGCCTTGCGACTTAACATCAAACTCGACTAGACTGGTTATACGAGTATATTTTTGAGTATTAGAATTACTTGAAAACAATTGAGTGAAAAACATTTCTCTAAATTCATGGCAACCCGAAACTCGGCACTTCCGACACTCGATAATCTGCGTCGCACGTGCGATTATAATATTACTATAATACTATGCATTGTTGTCAATTACGCTAAATGTTGCCGCTTGCATCGGCTAGGTGAAGAAGCTAGACTATGAATCAACCCCCACCACGATGAGTCCCGGAGAGGGGTAATTCTTCCACTTTAGGCGTAACCGCCAGCGATGCTTTTCCGATATTCTCCTTGTCATGCCTAATTTCCTCGGAAGTGGGAAAAGGGCGTGTACAATTAGCACAACGCCGAAAATCGGCGCGCTCTGATTGGAAAACTAAGACCAGAAGCTCCTTGAGTGGGCAATCATGGCAAGCGGCCTTAAAGGTGGGAATAAGGCAGCGAAAAGTTGCTGTCCGAATCAAAAAATTGAAGCAACGACTAGCGGGGGTAGCCAAGGACTATCTCAAGGAAAGTTCAGTTTGAAAGGGGCTATTCTGTAGTGAAGCACCAGGTCGGGAAGGAACTTTACGCACTCGTACGAATTGGTAAGCTAGTGACCAAAGTACTTGCGGAGATCCACTGACCAGAAGAATATACATCAACCTTACTATTAAACCGGCGACGGGAAAACCAACCAGGCACATTTGTGTTTACCGCGTATTTTTTGTGGTCAACTTGATGTTGTGGTCGACTTGTAGAGTCCTTCCACCACCTACCTCTTTCCCGGTAGTCTGCTTGGGCAGGCGGCAAGTTAAGCTATTGAAGCATTGGCAGTTCGAGCCAAGAATTACATCAATATAATTTCGAACAATTATATAAAGTATTAATATATTTAATAGAATAATAATCTATTAATTAAGTTCTATAATATTTTATCATTTATTTTTTATTTATGATGGAACAAATAATCAGTTGAAAATTACTTTTTGAATGAACTTGTAGCCATCTAGTACAAGAAAATGATGTCTGATTATAGTCTGAAAATCGTCTGAATTAGTGCGTAATAATGGATAATGAACTTGTTCGGAATTTCAGTCACCCGGTGGTCGACATATCAGTATGTTTAGATTAGACCGTATCCACCATTTCACTTGTGGAGGCTAATGCTGCAATTCAGTAATCAACAAATTGATTTTCATGATATTTATTGAGTTTGAATTATACACATACAAGTATGATTTTACAGAAGGCGCGACGCCTCGTCCGGAAATCAGCATTCGAAGACAGTAGTCTTACAGAAGGCGAATCGCCTCTTAGTTGACTCAAGTAAGAATGCCCTTGTTCGTTCGAGGGAGCCTTGCGATTGTGTAGTGCCTATCGCGGTTGCTGTATTTGCACCATCAGGGCCGAACGAGGCTGGCGCGTAAGTGCTTTTAATATTTGATTTCTCTTTCGATTAAATTCACAAAAATTCATTGTCTTATCTAATTCTATGATAAGTATGTGGGTGGTGCGCTTCTTATTTAATAATCACTCTTGTAATTCAATCAGCACTCTTGACTGCTTAACTATGGCGTACTTAAATGGTTCAAATGATTATGGCTTCACTATTGGCTTGCTAGCTTATTATTACAGAGTCTGGTAGAATTATTATATTATATATATTTTGTCAAACTGACTGACTGGTATAAGGGGGAGTGTAGTTGCTGTGTAGAGTAATAGCTGATAATTCATTGATTGAAAAACTTCAAACCTGTCGAATACGCGCACGAAACTGAAGGCTTAGTTGTTCCGTGGCGGCTCTGTTGAAACATATTGAATATTCCATGACGGTTCTGCTAAGGCAGGCCGTGATCCGTGCCATGTCGTCTTCACTGAGAGAATTTCACTAAGAGATGAGAGCTTGTCGCGTGCGTCCCTTACTTATGCGCACGGAAAATTACTCAATTGAGAAGACTACTGACGGACTTCTCAAGCGGGAACTCTTGAATAATGAGTAGTTGCGCCTTAGCGTGGATTATAAATTCCTCTAAATAAGTGAGTCGTGCTCCTGACAAGAGCCTTGAAATAGAGGAAGGATTTACACGGAGAATCACACAAGTCCTACGGTCACGAAGCCAATCCTCGCGCCTTTCAGCGCTCATAGCAGACACAATACGCGGCCTTCTTGACGTAGTGGTATGAGCTTTACAACCTCTTAATTTCCAGGGAATAGCAATAATGCACTACGTTGAGAGAGGCAAAATATTTCTTCAAATTACCTCTGGTTAAAGTGCATTTGCTACGGACAGAAGTGTAATCTGTTTGAATCAATCTTCGCGCCACTTGCGCCCACCTCGCCGACCCTAACCTCACCAAAGCACGTACCTATACGCATGGAGCGCGTGTCGACAAGCTAATCTACGCGTCATTCAGCACTCATAGCAGAAATAACACGCGACTCTACTCGAAGAAGTGGTAAGATTTTATAATTAAACACTTCCCTGGGAATAGCATCACTGTACTATGCCAAAATATTACATCCAGTTATGTCTGGGATCATACTAAAAACCTACGTTAGATGTTGGGTGGAGGTATTGCTGGCAAGTGGAAGGGCAACGAGCCGGATCATCGAATATATTTTGTACATATTTATTTTTAGAATTCTTTCAATTAAACATACGTTTAATTGGACAAATGTATCATTATCGATTTTTAATAGTTAAAAACAAATTTAACTAATAGTTAATATATGTTTATTGAAGTCAAATAAAAATTAATATCCTTTATTATAAAAAATAAAATTCTAATACTATTTTAAATTTTATATAAAAATATTGAGACAAAAACATATGTTATAAATTAAAAAATTAGAAAAACAAATTTTAATAATATAGATTTTAGTTTGTTACACATTTATATTCAATTTTCTTTAAAAAATAGTATTCGAGATTGTAAGAGCAGTCTTTGCCAATAAAACGTTTGACAAAACAACATCGTAAATTTGTCATTTTAGATTTCGAAAATTTCTTGCTGACAACGATCAAGCAATAATGTCATAAAACATCTGGAAAAACAAGATAATAAACTCGGGAAAACCCAACGTATTAGGCATCTGTACGGATTCGCTCCGCTCGGTAACTTCATTCAAAACGGTATGTACTGCCCCCTCTTCTACCTGTCAACAAGCTGTCATAGTGTCTCCAGATGCGTCAGAAGCAACGAGAGCTCTTCTTGTCGTGAAGACCAAGAGACGACTATGCCTTTAATTAACTATGAAGCCACAAGAGGCGCTGCCCCCTTGCCCTGTAAGTGAGGATCACTCTGATTAGACAGAAAATAAGGGATGGGATTCAAGTGAAGTACATGACCAGCAAATGTATTCAAGAAGCACATGTTCAATATTTAAACACTCTCGATACAGTACTTATTCAGCTAAGAAGTGAAAGTCCCTTTTAACGTAGTTCAAGACAACGGTTGTTGCAAGTCCTAAATGACAGGAGACATATTCCCTATTCGAAGTCCGAAAACAAGTGTCCAGTGGCAGTCCTCGTCAAGAAGGACGTGGATAATCCCTATAATGAGTTTACTATTAGTCTTCGTAAGTAGTATCAACTACCATAATCAATTAACATTTAAGATTCAGAGTTTAAGTCATCGACAAGCATCATAAGGAATTGAGGCTCTTTTCAGATAGACAGTGCGGAATAATTCAAAAATTGTCGCCAAGTTCGCGCCAGCTGATGCGAGTCTTGCCGGTCTATCCTGACATAAGTTCAATGTCTGACGCTTATGAATCTACTCAGCGTGCCCTTCAACGCTCATACCAGACGCAACACGTAGCAGTATCCTTCACGAGGTAAAAGCCTTTCAAGCTCTTACTTCCAACTGAATAACTATTGCAGTACGCTACTACCCGAGTGTATTTTCAATTAACAACAGTTACATGTGTCGCGCTACATTACAACTATAACCTCAATTACGCACGTGCTCACACGAACAGCGCGAGTGTCGACGAATGAAACTTCGCACAATTCTGCGCTCATATTCGAACCATAACGCTGTGTTCGGGATTGACGCAGTTTCCACGAATTTTAGACAAAGTGCGTCATACACGCTGTACGGCGCACGGCACGCATGCTCGGGCGAATGTTTATAAACAAAACTCGACAAGTCCGAGCAAGTTTTACGATCTGAATTATAATATACTATAAGATCTCATAAAGGAAGAACACCTACGAAACTTCTAGAAGCTTCGTTTTTTAACGCCGCATAGAATTTTCGGTCTAACAACACCCCGCGGCACTGTTGCCAGCGTTGCATCCGCTGCATGCATATTTAAGCACAGCTCACCATGTGGCGACCCTCATTGTAATCTTACTTCGCGCTCACTTAATTGTAATTGCCGCTCAGTGTTTTTAGTATACTGTAAAGACGACATGTGGCTATATATTCGACAGCCTATTAAGAATACACGTGTGCATAAGAATCAGAAATCGGCAGATTAGGTAGTGATTACAGTGAAGCCAATGGAATAGTAATCAAAGGGGACTTTAATTACGCAGCAATCAACACACCTTGTCAGCAGTTTTCAAGGTACCTTTTTTATATTAATAAATTAGCTAGTCACACCTCGCACAAGAATAAATCGGGCAATTTCACATTCTCTCAGTCGAACCAATGCTTCGACCTCGCAAAGGCCTAAAACAGTCGACATGTTATAGAGCACGCTCTCTCGAAGTAACCCTTCGTCATCGTGCATTCCCTGACCCAGTCGATACAATTGACACAACAAGTCAAGTTCATTGTCAAAGCCAAACAACAATATATCGACTAATCGACCATAAATACATATCATTAAGTCCTTCAAGGGTGCGAAGGCATATAATTAATTATTCTTGTGTGTGACTAGTCTTTTTATTGCTCCCATAAATATTTAAACATAATTGATTACTCAACAAGTTCCATTAAACATCAACATCAAATCAAACATCAACAAGTTACATTAAACACTATATCAAGAATAGTTATGACACATAGTAAACATTTTTTATTTAAACACCATCTTCTCATGCTACCACATGAGCATGACTGATTACACCAGCTGATATTTACATCAGCATAACCTCAATTACAACTAAGACAATTTAGACTGCAAGGACACACCCTCATTACTTCAATAGAATAATCTTCTCACTACATAACATTACAATATTATTATAATTATTAACAAATAATAAGCATTATTACACTAAATACATGATATTTTCAGCCCTGTCACTTATTATTTCCTTTAAAGTTATCCGGACTAGAGACTAATCCACTGAACTATTGAATTGGTAGTTTGAGCCATAAACTAAACCTTTAAAATCGAAAACGCTGCATTAGATTAGTGTACGATTACCATAGAAAATGCATTAATTTAACACATGAGTTTTTCAATAATTGATAATAGTAATACTAATGAACGCCCTGTTATTGGATAAATAACAGAATATTTATATTGAGTTATTATAATATCCCTTCCACTTTGACCTTTCATCGCTATCACACAACATCCGTGGCTCTGAGATGTCAACGGCATCAATTTGTATCCTTCGAATGAGTCTTCGTAAAACAAAGAAGCTATGGCACGGGTCTCGGTCTGCCCTCAGCAAGACCGCCATGGAACGGTCAAGCCTTCGCTTTTCGTGCGCGTATTCAACAAGCTTATAGTCCTATTGTGTATCAATCGATTAACAGTTATTATGTGATTAAGTTAGTGTTTTCGGCCACACACTAATTGCTCAGTTATATAACATAATGAAGCCATCAACGAGACACAAAGCTAATTTCCAAGCGTGCCACACACATACAAGCAGTCAAGGGTTATGACTGAATGACGAGAAACTACACTGCCACAAAGAAACCATAAAAAACCAGGTATGTTCGTTCGTATACACATTCTCAAGGCCACACGTCCTACACAGGGGTGTGAGCACAGCACCATTCTTATTATAAATGTAATTGTTAATAAATTATATGTTACCGAAGTTCGCACATATTATATCTTTCTATAACCCTTCCACTTGACTTCCACTCAAGCATCTACCAGAGCAGATGGCAAATTATTAAAGCTATCCAAGCTATTCGAAATTATAGTGATGTAATTCCTGGCGCGAACTGCCAATGCTTTAATAACTTAACTTGCCGCCTGCCCTAGCAGACTAGAAAGAGTTAGTTGGAAGGGCTCTACAAGAGTCGTGAGAGTTGGTTAATTATATAATTTATTATACAATTTACATATGGCTGTTGTAGAATCTTCAAGAAAATACGATTTCTTGAACGGCTTCTTGTATAGGAGGTGTTACTACACGAGATGCTCTTGAAATCGTTTAATTATGAAGTTGTGCCGATCATTGCCATCGGCGAGCAAGAATGATGAGGTTGTGCGGATAGTGTACTCACAGTGATGCAATATCTAGATCTGATCCTGGGTTGAGTGATTTACCACCAAAGCACGCGGCAAAGCACAAGCGTGCGTGGTCGTCTGCCCCTCTAGTAGGTGAAGTGATAACATCAAGTTGACCACAAAAAATACGCGGTAAACACAAATGTGCCTGGTTGGTTTTCCCGTCGCCGGTTTAATAGTAAGGTTGATGTATATTCTTCTGGTCAGTGGATGTCCGCAAGTACTTGGTCACTAGCTTCCCAATTCGTACGAGTGCGTAAAATTGCTTGCCGACCTGATGCTTCTCTATAGGATAGCTCGTTTCGAACTGACTTTTCCTTGAGATAACCTGCTTAGATAATGAATAACTGTCTACATCATATATTTAATTATGAGATTATTATTATCAATATTATAAATAACCAAACATCTCTTTTAGAATTAAAATATTGTAAAATTAAAACAAGATTGTTATCAGAATAATCAAGTGGCAATAGATACATAATTAAACCAATTTTTAGAAAACTAAATTTGTGCATTAGGCATTGCCCAAGTAAAACTTTAAAATGATTCACCCCTTTTCATTCCTTCATCACACAAGTTGGATAGCAAATATATAAGTACTCATGGATGTTCAGATTTATTACATATCTACTAATTAGCTGTTAAACAGATGTGATACTATGTAATAAAAATGGCATAAAAAATTATCTGAAAAATAGTTTTCATTAAAGTGACGTTAGTTCATTTTTAATATTTTGTATTCATTATTGTATTCTACTTTTATATTCATTATATCTGTCTTGTAGTTAATAAGTGGACTGTCAATATTGAGAATTAAATTTACTATACTAAATTAAACAATTATATTCTTTACAGCTACATATGCTATTTTTTCAACATTATCAAATAATAAAATTAAAAAAGAAAAGAAAAGGGAAATTATAATTTTTAAATAAGAATGAATTATAATTTTACATAATTATAATTATTATTATTCTTGAATGATAAAATCAACAAAAAGCATACGTAGTGTGAAACTTGAGAAAATAACTAGAGTAGCAATGCAGAGCTTTCATGTAATTAATGTAAAAATAGTGCAAAGCAATAGATAACATGGCTTCTAACAGTAGGTAGTATTCTAATGTACTTTTATTTAGATTCTATAATGACCAACTATGTTAGAATAGAAAAATGTTTGAACTCGTATTTAAACAATTACATATTTGATATTCGAGTTATATTTTACATGTTAAAAATAAGTAAAACAAAAAAATTAGCTCGCAATTTAATCATTAATAGGCAAAAAAATTGTTATTCAAATAATTTAAACCTCCAATGATATGACTTCATAAAAACCAAAAAAAGATCCAGCTGCAAAAACTAGAAGAAAAAAAGAAAAAATTAATAAAAGAAAAATATATTAATCGCTCATTTGTATGTGTATGCATTTATATGTATCTTACACAAGACAGTAAAAGTATTTACGAATAATATATAATTATTGTATATACAATAATATTATTAAGAAAATATAAATTCTCATTGTAATTAACTTAAACGGAATCTTAAATGATGAAAAGTATATAGTATATAAAAATATATATTATACACTTATATATTATATATTATATAATAGTATATTATATAATAAATGAACAAAGTTTAAAAAAAAAATAGTTATTTAATAAAAGATGTCGTTATAATATAATATAATAGATGATAAATCATTACAATATTTTAGACTTGGACGACGATTATCATTTTTTATTTGTCTTGGTACACTTATCATTGGTGCTTGCTTGACAGCTGTAACGAATAATTTTTGGAGCTGGGCTGTAACACGTACCATTGTAGGATTAACGATACCAGCTATATATCAAATTCCATTTATTATATGTAAGTAAAATTAAATAAGTTAAGATTTTCAGTTGTAATGATTAATTAATATTATTGTTGCGTTTTATTAAATATGTATATATGTATGATTCAAAAAAACTTATTAATATTAATTCATAATATCTAATGTAAATAAAAACAAACGAATTAATAAGAAGATCATATAATCTCTCATAGTATACCCAATATATGAATTTAAGGTAAAAGAAAATGTGGCAATAAAAAAGTAAATTTAGGAAAAATTAAAAATTTATTCATTAAATAAAAAATACGTGATATTATGAACTAAAATAATCAACTAATTAACCCAAAAGTTACCATAAATCTATATTTAACTTTTTACTAATGTATTAAAATTTAATAAGGTATATTTTAAATAATAACCTTATATGGATAAATACAAAGTTTAACATATTTTGGAAGTAATAATTAATACTTTATTTTTTGCAACATCTATTATAGTTTGAATTAACTTTAATTTATTTATAATAAAGTGTTTTAAAAAGTATGGATGACTTTCAAAATCATAATCAAATTTTACATAAAAGAATTAACAACCAGTGATCCATAAAGTAATATATTAATAATATTTTAATAAATACATTAAGGTACACAAGATATAATGATTAATTTATTATATATTGTTCTTGATTGATGATATTTATGAACGATAACAATAAATATATTTTATAATTGATATGTATACTTATTTTATAATGTATAATTTATTTACTTAATGGTTAATATATAGATTGATTGCAAAAGGTATGAACCAATAATATGTTCTTTTTGTCTTTTATTATTCATATTAATAGATTGTACATGATATTAAGTATATTAAAACTCATAAATTCTATTAAAAATAAATTAAAATTATATTAAAGTGACTAAATTTTAATGTTAAATTGAAGTTACTATAATTATTTACTTCTAGCTCTTGAATTAGTTGGACCGAACTATCGTTCTTTTGTTACTGTATTAACATGCACATTTTACACAATTGGTTTATGCATGTTAGCTGGTGTAACCTATTATATACGCAACTGGAGACTGTTAGCTTTGGTAACTAGTTTACCATTTTCTATATACTTTTTATATTGGTGGTAAGTATTCAATTTACTTTAAATATCTTAGATTATAAAGTGATATTTATATATATATATATATATATATATATATATATATATAATATTCTTATTGAAGTAAGTGTTTATTAAAGTAATTTAATTATTTGTTAATATATTGATAATATTATCAAATTAAATAAATGAGAAAAAAATTTTATTCTTATTTCTATGCAAGCCTATGATAGTACCATATGATGATGTATATAGTACCAATATGATATTTAAAATTACATAATTTATAATAATGAAACCAAATACAGAAATTGTTTATTCAATTTTATAATAATAATTAGTATAATAGAATATTATTCTATATTTCTTAATACATTAATAAATATTACATGAATTACCAATAAACTAATTATATTAATATGTCGAGGATTGAAGCACTTTCCAAGACCTTTTAGCTCTCGGTAATCGTTCTAGCTCTCGAATTTTTTTTTTCTTCTTTCGAATTTCTTCGACTTGATCCATGTGAGAGTTCCCCGAGAATCTGTCAATAAGTATGTTGCCTTTACATTTACGTTTGGTGTAGTTCTGCTGTACAGCATGAGTTTAGAAAGCAATAGAGCTGCTGCCAACTTCATCCTTGAGATGGTGAGTTGCTTGAGGGGTACTACCTTAGTCTTGGAGCACACAAAGGCAACTGTAGTAGTATTTGGGTTGTGGATGGCAAGCTATATGACTACAGCCATTACGAATTGAGAGGCATCAATAAAGCGATCTAATTTCACTGTTGATGTGGCGTTGAGTGGGATTTGCTTGCACTGACTCGTAGAAGCCAAGTTTGCTGATTTCTCGCTGCTGCTACTAAGTACATTCGGGCACTATACGTGGGGGTCAGAGTCAGTCCTCTTATGAAGGTTGCTACCATCTCACTTGAATATTTTTCGAACTGAATTATGCAGTATCACTACGCCGATGATTTCTTCTTCCAACACCTTTCCTTGTCGATATATAGTTTAATGCGCATACTAAACTGAAGGCGTGTTGATTCCGTGGCGGCCCTGCTAAGAGAGTGCGTTCTGAGTCGTTTGGTAAAGTGGTCGGTTTCAACTAAGACTGTTATCGAGAATGTGAATACATCCTCATGAGGGCTCGACTATAATCCGAGTAATTTAGCTATGCAATAGTCAAATGTAATTGTTAACTCCTGTTTCTTGACTGCGTTAATAGCGGCGAGGTTCAGCAATTGGAGTGCGGTTGCGGTTAGCCGTTGCGGCTTGTCTACATTTCCAAGGATGTCATCGCTATATTTTCCATGAGTGATGGATGGCACGGCCAGAGAGTATTTTTCTCCCTCGTTTTCTGCCAGTTACATCGATGTTCTAGTTGCTAAGAATGGGCAGCTCTCGTGCCATAGATAACTGTGGTCAGATGATATGGAACTTCTGTGTTGTTCGTCGATGATAAACTTTTTTTTTGGCCAAGCAGTGGCCAACAGGGTTGTATAGATGATGAACTAGGTGGAGTGATGATTGCACTATCTCTTCAGTTGAAGGGGGTTGATGAACTACTACTTGCTTGGGTCGGAGTTGTGATTTGTTCTTCAGGTAGCAGGATATGATGTCGCTTTTTTCGTACAATTTTGTTTGCTCATGCACATGTGAATGTAGTGGTGCCCCAAGTAATTGTAACACAGGTGTCGTTTACTTACGTAATCTTTTTTATCAGCAATCGGCATTTCATTGAATCTTAATCACATGGTCACCAAATATTCCGGTTGGCAGTAGTCGCATATCTTGTTACGCTTAGGGCCTTCTTGTGGACTCTTCAACTGGTAAGCTTTCACCGATCTCCTTTTCGATGAATGAGACTGAACTGGACGTTTTGATACCGTAGATATATACAAAGGTAATGCAGTTTTTACCTCACTGAGCTTGTTGACTTTCAGGATTTTTGATTAAAATAGATCTCGGAACGTAGGCCATGCTAAATGATCGCCTACGAATTTGAGAAGTGGAATATATGGAAGCCGGGACAGTTCGCTTGATTGTCCTATTGTTGGCGATAGGTCTTCCGACGTTTTTGTTGTCTTTGTTGACTCATTTAATTTATGACGTATTTCTTTGATGGTTAATCGCACAAACGAATAGTGTTTGAGTTCTTCCCTGCAGCGTGTATTTCGTGACGTATTCGTGATTTTTTAACGCTGTTGGCCATGCTAACTCAAGATAATTGGGCTCCTTGTGGAAGGTCTTGTATAATTCATCAACCTGTTACTTTATTTCTAAGACTACTTCAATAGATGTATTAAAATGAGATGAGGAGAGCCTTTTACTAGCTACTTTATTGCTGTAATTCGATTCTATTGACTTTGAGCTTTCAAAAGCTCAGCGGGTAATTGCTCTGTAGCGATGCTGCGGGTTATGCGTTCTTCTCTTTCTTGTGCAATTGGAATTTCAGGCAGAACACATCTGCAAGGAGAAAGTGCAGGAAGAATATTGTAGCGACCTCCACTACTACAGATTAAAGGAATCTCAAGCATCATGAGGGAGCACTCTCTCTGTCTCCAACCGCAAAAACCAAGCCATTTGCGCACAAAGCATTTGCAGGTAATCAATACCACAATCGCCACCTCACACTCTATTGCTCGGCACCATCGCAATCTCTATCAATCGGTGCCACCTCACACTCTCACTTAGTGCCACATTGAGGTATTGAAACAATTCGTTTCCCTTCTACTCCACAACACATCAAGAAGAGACTCGCAACCAGACACCACCAAGTAGCACTACACTAAGGAGTATCCTGAGATTTACAACCTCTCACTTCTCAGTGTATGCTATCACCACGTGAAATCTACTAAGGAATGCCACAAGGTCTCAAAGACTGTCATCATCAACGCAGAATCATATAGTGTAATTGTAAAATAATTGCAATAAACATCATGAAAAATAGATCTGTTAAATACTGAATAGAAGCGCTACTCCTATTTATCCACACTTTTCTCAGCTACAGCTAATAAACTTTATTATCAAACTTTATATTTGATACAATAATAATGTTACTATTTTTAAATAATAATCAATAATCATAATGTTTTAATGTGCTGGAAAATATATATATTCTTGTTGTTAAATAAACTAATATATCATTCAATAGAATACCAGTACTAGTAATAGCCAGAAACGGAAAAAGTATGATTAAAAATTTATAAAAAGTATGATTAAGATTTTATAAAAAGTATAATTAAGATTTTATAAAAAGTATGATTAAGAAAAAAAAACTTATGAAATTCGTGCAATATTGCAATATCGCTTTGAAAATTTTCTTTTTCAATACTGTAAAACACTAAGTTTAGTGTCAACGTATCTTCAGTGTGAACATAACATACTAACATGAATACTGCTTTAGTTACAGATTTGAAATGGAGCCTTGAAATGTAACTAAGCATTTATGAATATCAAATGCAATTTGTTTAAAATTAATTCCACTAATCCGGCTCGAAGAACCAAACGTTTAGAATTTACTAAGAAAAACCACTCGATGTTGTGTGGGAGAATGCGTGGGCAAGTGGGGGGGGGGGGGGTTAATCAC